TGCTTTCTTGGCATTCATAATGATTATATATGCTAATGAATTAAACCGTACGAAGAAGACAATATTTTAGATGAATGTGCGGATAGTGGATGTCGTAAATATGATATTGTCACAATTTTTCCATGCTGAGACGTTAATGCTGTTGAAATACATGGGATTGTGGAAGCCGCAAGGATTATCGAAGACGGGTTCTATCTTCTATGATGGATACTCAATAGTCATATTAACGCTCATGTTCACCTTAGGCCTTTCACAGCTTTTGGATGTTTTGCTCTCGAAGATTAATGATGTGGGTGAATTCATGGAGCATATCTTCATGGCTCTCACATCGCTCTGTACCTGCTTGAAAATTGTTAATTGGTTTCATCAACGTTCCAAAATCGTGAACATTTTGGAAACGTTCGAGCGATATCCCTTTGAACATCAAACCGCGGAGGAATATCTAATCTGTCAACGGTTCAGTACAAAAGTTCGGTAATTACTTCCATTTGAAATATTATTTAACTACTAAAATTACTGAAATATTATTATCCCCCTATTTTATTTGGCAATTACCAGTGGATTAATCTTATTTAATATGACCCTGCACATTTTCGTTTTGCAAAAATATTTTGTAGTGTTGAAAATAACTGAAATTGTGTCGATAGTTCATTAATGGACTTTTAAGTCTTTCTTTCAATTTTTTTTCAATATGCCCATGAGTCTCAGAAGGAGATCATACTGAAAAAAATAATCAGTTTGCCAGTACATATTTATTACATGCCATCCAGTCATATTATTTTCAAGCGATCATTTGATTGAACGCTACGTGTCAATTTTCCTCAATCTGTAAATTAAAAAAAAAATGCAGAAATTGAAAAATTGCAAGGGAAATCACATTTTTTAAATGCTATTCTCTTTTTAATCAATTTCCCCCCCAAAAAACTGAATTAGCATTACAAAACGTGCAGTAAATTGTATCAAATATTCCGCTTCATGTGTTATCGAATTATTTGATCGAGATGGTGATTATCAGGATGAATTTCAGCAAAAAAATAACGTGAAATCTCATCATACTCATTAATTCCAGACGTATTAGCATCACATATCTAACATACATCACGCTAGCACCGTTATATTATTCATTCGACAAATTGTGGAGATATCTCCCCCGACGAGTATTACCGATTAGTGGGTGGTTACCTTATGATTACTCAAGCCTATCATCACTGTGGTTTTCGTCAGTGTATCTGCTATTTAGTATGTGGCTCACAGCTGTCTTCAATACAACATACAATGTCCTTTTCTTCGAAATGATGATGCGAGTAGTGACTCAGGTGAAGATTCTGAAGAATCGTTTCCGAGTAATGATGGCGACCTTACTAAAGCGTAATAGAACCAAAAAACGTTTTATTGACGGCAATCTTCTTATGGAACACGAGTTGTTTCGTAATTGCGTTCAATATCACATCGCCATTCGCAGGTTCAATTCGTATTATATTTCTCATATGCATATGATAAGATTACGATATACAAGTCAAGGAAACACTTGTCCGTTTTTTGCACGCAAGGAGAGAAAGTATTTAGTTGTAATACCGCAAGAGCTTCAAGATTATCCGATATTTATTGAATATTTTTTAGCCTTGCAATAAAAGGAAGACATTTTCTGCATGAATGAAATGAATTCCGGGGTACTTAGTCGATTTGGCTTGAAGCTGGATTCCCCTAATTAAAAATTAAATAAAATTCTGGAACTAAAAATTACGCTTTGTAAAAATGATTAATGGTTTTGTAAAATGTTCTTTAACCACATTTTGCAGTAAAGATGGGTGAATTTTATTGAAAATGTATGTTAAATATATATTCGGTTCATTATTTTAATAATAATTTAGTATTTCTCTTCGTGTGACGAAAAACTGTGTCATTTAGAAAGAAAACCAGACTATCACATCCTGGAACTAGTGCTAGGGAATATATAATAATTTTGATATTTCAGAATGGCTAGAGATATAAATTCTGTATTTTCCACAATCATACTGATACAATATTTGATAACATCGTTGATTCTGTGTTCAACGGTTTATCTCATGTCTGAAATAACAGTATTTTCCGGAGATTTCCTAAATCTCGGGCTGTACTTCCTGGCCATTTTCCTGCAAATAACGATGCTCTGCTGCGCAGGCCACCGTACATGTTTGGAGGTAATTAGGAGTGATAACTAATTTTTTTTCAATTACCAGTATCACTCAATTGGAAAAATAACTTTTTAAAAACGTACAAACTCCTCTCAAGTAAATGGATCCTTGGAAAAAATTTTTTTTTCCTCGTTGTAATATTTGACACAGACCTTTCGTAATGCCTGTAATTTTTTCAGTTCGATAGTATTGGAGATGTTTTGTACACTTCGAATTGGATGCCTCTTAGTGAAATCAATAAACAATCAATGAAATTGATTTTGGTCAACGTTGGACAATCGTACGTTTTCGATTGTAGGGGATTGCTAAAATTGGACGTCCAGGCATTTCAAAAGGTACGAATTCTCAAGAATGACTACCATCGCTAATCGAATATTTCTGGAAATTATGATTGTTTTTCAGATACTTATACTGACATATTCCATTTTCAACATTTTTCGGAGTGCATCATCATAAATCATAATGTTTTTTGGAGACAATTAGTGGAAAAAGGCATGGGGAATTCTTTAGGAAGTCCTTCACCCAAATGATTATCTATGAATAGAATTTCTCGGTTTATTCCTGAAGGGGCAATAAACAGAATTAAATATAATACATTCGTAAAAGTTGGGGTCTCACGAAATGTGAGTATAAATATTAAAGAAAATATCAACATAAATTATGAATAGGGAAACAGTATAGAAAAGAGTATTCATTAAAAATTCATTACCATTATCATCAAAGGTATATCACGATTAATTTGTTTTCAGCAATTCGTGCAATAGAAACATATAAGAGGCAGTATAATACAAGTAATAACAATTTCAGTTTATATTCTTAGTACTTTTTTATATTTTATATCCTCTTCTATACTCGTTTTTTTATATTCTATATCCTTCCGGATTTTTAGGTCTAGTCCCATCTCCTCTTCCCCTTAAAATTAGTAACAATTGCGATGCATTATTTGTGCACAAGGTTTATATTGTTGTTCCTCAAGTTTCTACTCGAAACGAGAATAAAAAAATGTCTAATTTTCCGTACATTGGCAGACCCAGTCGTTAAACCGCAAATGGTAAGCTTGATCTAAGCTTTATTATCCGTATCGACCCACCACATAATTCATAAAAAATAGAGCATACAAAATACCCTAATCATCGATACCTATTTATTGGTTTGTATTTTGAATAATAAATTCGGCCTTAGTCAATTAACGAAAGTGAAGGACTAAATCCATTTGTTGGAAATATTCCGCCTGCAGCAGTTCGTCCAATTCATTGAATGAAGATATTTCCATTCAGCATTTTTTTTTTGCTGGATTAGCACCTGTATTTCACGAAAGTACGTTCAAGGTACTGGAGGAAATAATCTCGGGAATTTTCAAGAGTATTTTCTTTAACGTATACCATTCAGTACTACTGCCACTTTTTTATGTAACTCCAAACATTGAAGAAAAGTTTATTAAGACTTTCATCATCAAAATGCCACATCGGGACAACGCATTATTTCACAAGGAGACATTGCTGCTGTTGCAATATATTGGATTGTGGAAACCACAGGGATTATCACAGTGGAAATCTATTGTTTATGATATTTATGCAGCAATGATGGTAATCGTAACGGTTACTTTCGGCTTCTCACAGTTTCTGGCAGTAGTTTTCTTGAGAAAGCAGAATGTCAAAGAATTTATGGAGCACATATTCATGGCCCTGACGACGTCTTGTGTCAGTTTCAAAGTAGTCAACCTTCTTTACTGTCGATCAAAAATATCGAATATTTTGAGAACGTTGACAGGAGCTCCGTTCAGATGTGAGAATGCTGAGGAGCACGAAATCCGTTATCAATTCAGCAGAAAAGTTCGGTAATACAATGTCAACATATTTTGTTATATCAGATTCAATTTGGTTTTATTTGAAAACATTCGTTGATTATTTATTTTGAAAATTCAAGAAAATTTACATTTACATGAAATGAAAATTGAAAATAAATGCAATTGAATGTTCAATATTTTCACGATTACTCATGACCTGAAAAGTTGAAATTCTGGAAATTTTAGATCTGGAGGATTTTGCAAAAATTCCCGTCGCTGTTGTAAAAAATGTCCAGTGTTTTCCATAATTGTGAATTTAATTCTTCCAGGAATGTTTCCATTTCTTCTTTTGCATACTTTATGGTGGCACTTCTATATTATTCGTTTGAAGCGTTGATGGAGAGTTTTCCAGAGAGGAGATTACCTGTTGCGAGTTGGTTGCCATATGATTACTCAAGTATAACGTCATGGTGGTTTTCATCGGTGTATCTTTTATTTGCCATGATTGTGGGTGGTTTAATCACAGTAGGATTCAATGTTCTCTTCTTCGAGGTGATGATGCAGATAGTTGCTCAGGTGAAGATATTGAAGAATCGACTAGCCAAGATGATAGACACTCTCCAGGAAGCCGATGGGAGGAAGAATAATTCCGATGAACGGTTGCAGGAGTGTAGACTGTTTCGTCGTTGCGTTGAATATCATATTGATATCCTCAGGTAAAATTTATATTCAATTTTTGAATACTTCGAATTGTTTTGAAGGATAAAATCTGAAATCAATTTGTAAGAACGAGTAACGCGACTCATGCAGACTGAAAGAACAATTTGGTAAAAGGTAGTAAAAGTATTTGTTTGCCAGAAAAATTATTGCTTTAATTAAATGACATTTTAATCAATGGAAAATATCTCAATTCAAAAAGAAAATTAATTGCGTATATGTTTTTTAACTGTCGGTGTCCTCAGGCATATTTTAATAATTATACTAAACAAAGACAGTTGCATAAGTCGGTGTAAAAAATGAGTTTCATAATTATAAAGTGGATCATTATGAAATTTCAGAATAGCTAAAGAGACAAATGGTATTTTTGCTGCCATTGTATTAATCCAGTATTCAATTACATCACTGGTTTTATGCTCAACCATTTACCTCATGTCAGGAGCGACAACTTCCACCGGACATTTTCTGAAATTCGGCGCTTACTTTGGGTGCATGTGTCATCAAATATTAATTCTCTGTTACGCTGGTCATTACACATTTTTAGAGGTGAGATAAATAACTACTAGTGGACCGCAAAGTCCCATTTAATTAAAAAATAGTTGGGGCTGCTGGGATAATGTGGACACCCATTAAAAATTGTTGCATGTTTAATTATCAACATTTTTCTATGCTTAAACAAACATAAATTGATGAATTAAGTATTTAGCAATCTATGAAGGGATTGTCAAAAGGGATTCTAATAAAATGAAAAAATCTGTTTATTATTTTGACACATTGTTGATTAAATTGCGGACAGTGCCACTGTCTTCATTGGAATTCAATGGCGTCTCTTATATTAAATTTATTACGACCTTGAACAATAAAAAATCGTGCACTCCTTATCATGGATGTATACTGCCATCAATTACTGAATATATTTTTGAATTTCAAATAGTTCAAAATTATTCGAGGGGTCTATTTTATCCGAGCTTCCTAGTTTTTTAATGATAAAAAAAATGTATAGTTTTCTAGTATCCGGGACGTTTTATATTCTTCTGATTGGACTGAACTCAGTATAATTAATAAACAATCATTGAGACTAATGCTGGTTAATGCTGAAAAACCGTTGGTTTTCGATTGCGGCGGAATATTACAGCTGGACGTCGAAGCTTTAAAAAATGTAAGTACCAAGCGATGGAAAATATTGTAAAGCAGTTATATTGGATTATAAAAAATTGCATTACCTAAAAAATCATGGAAAATAATAATAATATTTCATTCAATTGGTAAATTGTATAATAATAATAGAACATGAAATAAATATTTGCACATATTAGATGGGTGAGGAACGAGAAGACTTTGTTCCGCACATTCTAATTTCCAATTGATCTTGATGATAAGATAATAAATCACGCCATTAGAGAAAATCAAGATAACAATTTCGCTTTGTTTGGAATGGGAGTCGCAGAGGTCAAAAAGTAAATATTTTTGAGAGTAGAATTGATAAAGCCATCGCTTTTATCCAGATTTGGCAAACACTGACGATATGTCAGGATTTATTAATGATTGAATTAGCATATTATTAGATTATTCCCATATTGCAAATTTTTCACGGTTAATGATTGGTAATTTTTTTAATTGAATTGTAATTGAAAATAATTCATGACGCAAGACATCTGCTGGTACTTGTATCATAAAATAATGCTTTTCATGGATAATAAATGCAATCCAATCTCAATGACGTAATGATTCGTGATTGATTTTCCGTTCTTTTTCAGGTGTTAAAATTGGCTTATTCGATCTACAATATTCTCTGAGGCTTCGATGACGTCTTCGAACCGATTTTTAATGAGAAAATTAATCCAATATTTTATCAAATTAATGAATTAATATTTGACTCGCGAGGCGAAATAATAAGAAAGCAGAAACAATGTCCGAGGAATTAATCGAGTAGAATTCACATTCTTTGGTGTTGCATCCAATTGCAAAATTCCATAAGAAATACCTGAGCGAATGCTCCAAAAACATTCTATCATGTTTTTATTTGAACCACTGTTAAGTCTGCCAATTTTGTTGAAAAATTGTTTACGTTCTCTGCGTGTTTTTTTTTTTCAAAGAAAAATAATTCAATGGATAGCATAATTTTATAATCAGATGTGTAAATGTGTAAAATATTCGAGTTCGGCGGCAGTTTGGTAAAATAAAATTGATAAAAAATTTAAGTCACTATTTTCTGGGCGCATGCGCTCTGCCACACGAAAATCCTCCCGCCAATTTGTCTTTCTCGTGTAAACTCCAAAACAATTGTTGTCCATAGTTTCTAATAATCATTATTCAATTGAAGTCATATAAATTGGATGAAACATTGTCATAGTGAATCACTGCTGTAGTAATTTCTTCAGTCATAAAATAGAATCTTCAAGAAAAATATCTAAAATTGTGTGAAAAATTGATTTCACAGTGCCGAGTCGACAATTTTGATATTCACGCATTGTCAACGTTTTTTTAATCAATAATTATGAGTTTGTGGGTGGATAAACATCGTCCTACGAGTCTCTCAAAACTTGATTATCACACGGAACAAGCAGAGCATCTAAAAAACATGGTAAGTGAGAATTTTTCATGATTTTGAAAGCTCATTTGAGGTTATCACAGGTACTGAACAGAGTCGCTTCAAATTAACACTTTTTAACTCTCACTTACTGGATTCTAAAGCAATTCCATCGGTTTATGAAGTTTCATAGTTAAATGATAGATGGTCACGGGAGATTCGCCAAAAACTTTTTTTAAAACGTATATAATGCGCAAGTTTAATTGGTTGTGCCTGAAAGATATTTTTATACTGAATTTATCAGTCGTTAAACAATGAAAAAAATTATTCTTTGGGATTATTCTTTTTAATAACAGAATGATTTTTCACAAGGCGCTTATCATCTTAGATAGTCATTAATTTTGGTTGAAATTATTTATTTACTTTCCGTAAAGTTGTTCAATATTACAGTTATCAACATTATAGTACATTATAGTATTATTACGTATAAAGTATTTATTATAGTACATATAGTACATACAGGAATTTCAGGCAAATTGAACGCAATTTGTAATTAAATTTCGATTATTTTATGTAAAGTCGTAAAAATCATTGTTGCTACATTGAATGCAAATATGTTAGTATGGAGCATTTGTGTTTTTCAAAAATGCTAAATTTCATTATTTTCCCCTGTAAATAAAATTGTAGATCATTCTCCTAAGAATTTTCCGCTAATTGTCTTTAGAATGAAAAACTAGGCTCTAACTTGCTAGGCCACATCATTCTTTGGAGATCATCCAGAAGATTTTTCAATATAAATTTTAATCAGATAATAAAAAAAGTAATTATTGCTATGCATCTCCGATAGCGATCACGCAGGAAATTTTTTACCATTTTGTTGGTGAAAACATTAAAATTACCGACATATAAGGAACGATGCCAATGTACCTGTTAAAACGATAGGTAGAAGAAATAGACCATGAAAAAACCCACCCAAAATAATAGACCATAGGAGAATTAATATGAGCCTATTCTTCCGGTGGTCTGCTTTTTTTTGGTTTTTTTTCCTAAAAAGGTATTTAAAAAGTTCTTTCTTGCGTTTGTAAGCACTCCTCATCCCAATTACGTGGGATTAGATGTTCGATCAGTTTGATGAATGTGGAGAGTGGACAGACCGAAGTGCAACCTGGTAAGGTCAGCAGAGTTAACTTGTTTTGTAGATCTATGTATGAGATGGTTACGACGTATTCGTTTTGCCGGGTTACTCTGAGCTCCAGGAAAACTACTGCTGAATAGGTAGGCCAAAAAGGATGCTCGGAAACTCCTAAAGCCATGAGAAGACTCGCTATGCTTTCGTCGTGTGCTGAGTACATGAACACCTTTCTGTTAGGTCTAAGAGTATCATTTACTTTCTGCCTCATGTGAAAGACCATTTCTTTTATCAGCGGTCCTGTATGAACATGAATCATTAATCAGTCCATCATAATTATGAATGAATCATTCATTGTATATTATATATTATGAAAAAATGCACATAATTTGAAATCTTGTTGAAGCCAGACGAAACCGGGGAAAAAATAAACTCGTGTGTACTCAACATTTAGAGACTATTCTAACATTAAGTTTTTTCCGAAAAAATCGGTGCAGTTGTTCCAAAAAATGTGTAAGAAAAACAGGGTACTTCTGGACTATTAATTTTATGTAGGGGAGAGCCGGGTGAAAACATTTTTAACTCCTTATTACTCATTTTCTTTTGCCAAAAAATGTTGGAGACAGTCTAAAAGTGTGCCAGTATTTTTGACGAGTTTATTTCGTTTGATTAGACGGTGGTTTTTTTTTTTTAATTTTGCAACGTTCTCCGAAAATACTCCATCTAACTTTAATCGCTCATTTTTTTACTTCTGACCGTGAAATTCCTTGAAAATTCCTGTGAAAATTTAATATTTTTTATCACTGATGAAGTGTAATAAAATTCCGGGAAAACTGAAATGTTGAATAGTGGATTCTTACGATCGTTTTTTCCCCCTTGTCTCCTATTGAACCTCCGATTCACCCCATTTTACTCGCATTCCATTCTATTCTCTGTCCCATTTTGCCCGAATGTATCGTAGTAATTTCAAGTTCACGAATTTGGGAGGCATGCAATAATTTCACGAACAAAAATTCAAAAAATTGCAAATTCTTTGAAAAAAACACACAGAAAATTTTGTTTTCGTTAACTTTTAACAAAGGACTTGCTGGACTCCAACATAATTTTTTCCAGAAATTATTCTCTTAACATGAAATCTATTTACCCGATCTATATCTGTGCAGATATTTATTACTCTCGAAGAGTGAATAAGTAGCATTTAGTGATAATGGAATTTCAGATGACCAAACATTGTTTGTCCAGTCCAGTGGAGTTTTGTTCTGACCACTCTGAAAAAATACACGACTTGCATAATTTCTTTCAATAAGGAGACGCGCGAAAGAGTGAAGAAAAGAAGAAAAGCAAAATTACCTCTGACAATAATTTTTTGTACCAATAAACCAATGTGGCAGGTTCGTTAATTCTTTCTCCTGTGGTGTCCAGGAAATCTTTAATTGGGTTGGACTTCATCTGCTTTTCGTTACTTACGCTCTTGCTAACGGTCTTCTCAATAGCCTCCTGGAGAGCTTCGCCATATCCAAGGCAAGGTTTTTGTCCAGCTAAAAGATTATCTTTCTGTACTGGAACCGTGTGAACAGGTATTGGCCTCCATGGATACATGAGCCTTTTCCAGATCTGGTCACCTACTGCTGGGTACAGACCAGCAAGGACCAGCTCTGCTGACATCAACGTCCAATCTATATCCGTACTCCTTACGTAGATATCATGCGGAGAATATTTTGTCGGCAATATTTTTTTGTATTTTGTTCTGAGGTGTCGGCCCAAATCGAACATCTGTTCCATTCCTGACTGAATTGGAGAACATGGATAAAAATGTTTGAATTAGGTTTTCGTACACAAGAAAAAAGTAAAATATGCTCTGAAATATGATTTGTGATTTTTATAATCGCGTAAATTGCCACATTAAAAACTTACATTACGCAATCCTATAAATGATTCAGACCTGTATGACTCCTCGTTCCAAAGTTTTGTTTCACCATGGTTGAACACCTATAAACAAAACCAACAGTCAAGTATTTTTTATTTTATCGTCCAGACATATACCCTCTCGGGTCTTTACATTTTCTTCCTCTCTCTTTAAACCCTCAGCAATACAGATAATAGTAATAACAATAATAAAGTCAAGAGTCAATTAATTGTCTAATAGTCGATTTCCAAAATTGTGGTTCATGCATTCATGAATTTTAGACTGCCCTCTGTAAATTAACTCTCTCTGCAAATTAATTATCGGAAGAATTTTGAACAGCGTTAATTATAGAACTGACAATTTGTGTTAGTTTTTCTTATATTTCTCGAATAAAAACTAACAACTAGCGTAAAAAAAATATTTTTGAACTAATTTTTTATCTGTAAAATTGGTTACTCTCAATTCTGTCTCTGATTTTTGTATTCATTGTTATTATACTTCTCAGTGACATTCTTACTCGGATACTCTGTGGTATTTGCAACTAGTAGTTTTCTAATCCCAACCCCATGGTATAAAAACGAATAATAACAAATAAGAAAACAATAAAACTTACGACATTGGTCAAGACTACTCGCCCTAGATCCCGATAGCTAGCTTCAGATAAAGCGAGAATAATCGAGAGAATAAACATCAAACGACAAAACATCCTGACGAAATCAATAAGATAATTAGAGGAATAGTTTTGTGCAGGAGGAAATTTTCCCGCCTATTAGTTAATCGAAAGAATTATGGAATGATTCAACGTCTTTGTGAATTCGAATTAGACAACCATCGAACTACCGCACAATTGTTAAATCCTGCCTTGAAATATTCAGATATATATGAATAGATTTATCCAAAATATTTATAGCATGCGTGACTTCGTGCTTCTTCTGAAGTGCCTGATTAAAAACTATCTTCATATTTTTCAGACACATTTAGACACAAAAGAAGTTCTCTTTCGAAGAATTTAATCGAAATGTATTTCCGTTACGAAAACAATTTGAGATATCAGAAATAATACCGAACAAAGAAATTCCGGAATTGAGAACGTATTTCTTTGTCATTCGTTTTTTCTGGAATCAAGGTTTCATTAAAAAATATACCCCATTTTATTTTCTACAAAATCAAACCTTTCAGTTTTTCCTGTTTTTCTAGTACTTTATCGAATCTGCATAATGCGTAACGGGAAATGGTACTAATTATTGTGATCGTCAACATTTCATTGTCAGCTAGTCAAAAATAGTCAATAAGTTATTTGTGCATACGAATTAATTTTTATTTGAGACTTGTGACGGAATTTTTCCAATGGGGGAGGATTTATATTTTTATTATTATAGAGAATAATTCACACGATTCGTATGCTTTGAATCAAGTCAACTCTTTTGCTTTTAGAATGACTTTCTTAATATTATATGACATTCGGAAGCATATTTCTAATTTATTAGCAAATGCGATGTCCCATTAATTTTTCTAAAGGAGTTTTAAAAAATTCCTTCTTTAATAACAAAATTTATTTAGATTAAAAATTACGTCTCTATCTCTAACGTTTTTTCGATGAATTATTTTAGATAATCAAATTCGTAATAAATACCTCGAGAATCTAATTAATAGAAAACAATATTGTGTGCCTTTGTTAAAGGTTCAAAAGGGTGACTTTCCGCATCTGCTGGTTCATGGGCCTCCAGGTGCTGGAAAAAAAACGCGGATAATGGCGATAATTCGAGAATTGTATGGAAGTGGAGTGGAAAGACTTCGTATGGAACCGATGCAGTTTGAGGTAATCATTCAATCCATATTTAAGCTCAATTAACATAATGAATTGATCTTCTTGGAAATCATCGTATGTTTTTGTGATGCCCGAACTAGACGCCGTCGAAGAAGAAATTGGAGATCATGACGATCAGTTCTAACTACCACATTGAAGTAAATCCTAGTGATGTTGGAATTTATGATAGGGTTGTTATCATGGATCTCGTTAAAACAACAGCTCAGACACATCAAATTGATATTAACGGTCAACGTGAATTCAAAGGTTCAAATTCGCATCATTAATTAATTTATCATTCTTCCCTATCTTATCAATTTCCTCTGAATTTTTCATGAAAAGTCTTTTCAAAATTTTGAAATTTACTTTTTGCAGTTGTTCTACTGACAAATGTCGATCAACTGACTAAAGATGCACAGCACGCCCTTCGCAGAACAATGGAGAAGTACGTCTCTACCTGCAGATTAATTCTCTGCGCAAATTCCACGTCGAGAGTTCTTCCAGCTATCAGATCTCGTTGTCTAGCAATTCGAGTTCCAGCCCCAACAATTCCAGAGATAAAATCGATACTCCAGTTGGTTGCGAAGAAGGAAGGACTGAATTTGCCTGATGGATTGGCGGAAAATGTTGCCAAAGCCAGTGAGAGAAACCTCAGGAGGGCCCTGCTCATGTTAGAGGCGTGTAAAGTTGAGCAGTAAGTACATATAACTTTGCATTTAACCTTCGACTCGTTTCTATTGATCCTACATCAAAATAGACGAAATTTCACTTCCCCTTTAAAAAATTCCCTGTCATTCTCCATGAACGTAAGTGCGCACGTTTAGATCCTAGTATGTTATTCATTAATTAACAGCAATAGTTGTAATAAACAGATGATAACACTATCACTTAGATGTTACTTCATAAAATTATCGATTGATCCTCCTTGTATTCTCAGATATCCCTTTACCAATGATCAGAAGATAACAGAACCAGATTGGAAGGTATTCCTCTGCAAAACAGCGACAATGATGGTGACAGAGCAAACCCCCAGAAAACTGCTAGACATTCGAGGGAGACTTTACGAATTGCTGACCCATGCAATTCCGTGTGATTTAATATTCAAAGGATTATTGCAAGAGTGTATTAAAAATTGTGATCTACCGTTGAAATCAGAAATCGTTGCAGCCGCTGCTGAGTTCGAGCACAGAATGCATCATGGCTCCAAACCTATTTTCCATCTTGAGGCTTTTGTTGCTCGATTCATGGCGGTTTACAAAAAATTCATGGATGCTAGTATGAATGACTTCTGATCAACAAAATGTTAAGTTTTCATCTGTAATTTATACTATTTTTTTATATTTCACTGTTTCAATGTTTTTCTGGATTTCACAAATGAAAAAACAAGAATTTTTCCAAGAATTATCAAGTTTTCCATTGTGTTCACATTAAATCACTTCTCGTTCATTCTATAAATTACTCAATAATTTTATTGTAGAGATATAATACAATGAATATTTCGATAACTCTTGATTTTTAGTTTCAATTACATGAGAGATAGAATGAAAGCTGAAACTACTGATAAGCCGAGCATAGTCCAGCCGGTGGAGTAAACCTGCTTGATCGTGAGGAATTGTCCCATGTCCCACGCCTGATTTGAAAAGAAAAAAATTTAATTATTTCAGGGTCGCCACTTTAAATAACACAATGTAAAAATATTACATCATAATATTACAGTTTTTAACATTATGGTGAAAAATATCACAATGAAAAATATTATTAGTAACGATATGACGTACTCAAAACGTCATAATTTAAAGATCTATTCAATTTGGGCAATTTATTTTGAACCCTTCTTTTCGTCTTTGATGCGGCTTGTGGAATTGTGTTGCTGAGTCTCCTATTTGTGGTGTTTACTTAGATGTTTTTTATTCTATGCGTTTAATATTAGGATTGTGTGTTATTTTGATCACTATGTTCTTAACCATAATATTATTATACTGCGTTATTTCAAGTGGTAACTCATTGCAGTTAGGATAAATATTCTTATTTGAGTTATTTATTTACCAAGTGACGTATGCCATTGAGGTAGTGGTACATTGTTGGCCAGGCAACTGCGAATTTCATAAGGAAAAGAAGAGGACTTGCCAGTTCCATCGCAGCAATCGAATCGAGGACACAATTCATTCCTCCAGGTAGAAATAGACTTGCTGAAGAAAATTGGGACAAACTTCCAGAATTTCGATACTCAATTTTGAAGTTAATAATTCATGTTGAGTTAAAAAATAATTTTCGATTTCTATATCGATTAAATGATTCAATCGGCTTTTTAGCTTATTTAGGGTGTGCAATGAATTTTAAATCGATATTTAATTTGGTCTACTCCTGAATATGAATGACTACCTGCACCAGCACCAGTTGCATAAAATGCAAGAGCCATCCCAGTCCCTCGATGTGTGATTGATAGCATAGATGTCAATTGTGGTTTGTAAATAGTCAAATGTGGTGACATTGGCCTCTTCAATCGTTTATTTTTCTCAGCATAAGACTCACAGGCTTGAACTGCAACGCATCTACTCATCGTCGAGGACAGGCCCATCGAACTGAAACCCCCAAATTAATATTTTCAATCATCTAAATGATAAAAAAAAATAAACAGAACAGGTTATGTAACAGATAATTATTCACCTGGGGGTCAGAATGCTCTTGAACTGGCCAGCATTGAAGCCCTTCTGACAGAACAATCTGGACAATTGAAGATATTAATTAAAACCGGGAGTAGTAATTTTGCCAAGTGGGAAATAAATTTGGAGTGAATGAACCATGTGAATTAAAGATTCAAAAATTTTGTGCGATTTTCATTACCTGGTGTAGCTCAACGCCATTTCTTGTACTTTATTAACCTTCTAGATCTAAAAAACAATGAGTTTTGATTAATTCAGAAAGTGAAGGGAATCGAAATTATTTTAGTACAATGTTTTTCAGTTTTTCCTTACGTCACGATCGGAAAATTATCGAAACAAATATCCAAACAGACTACAGGCGGAAATTACTGTCGTGTGTTTGCGCAAGCGCGGTCGTTCCAAATCGTCCCCTTTTCGAATTTTTAAAATTCTTCTGCACATTTTGGGGGAATTACAAAAATGGGTAGTGGGGGCTCAAAATCAAGTGATTATTGATCTTTTTTTTTAATTTATAAATTTATTTTTTAGCTTTAATTGTTAAAAATCTTATACGATGTGTGTGTAAAAGTACTTCATAAAAAAACGACATAAATCAAACCAGATGAAAAGACGGGCTAGCAGATATTAACTATAAAGTAATATGATTGAAGATTAATAATTAAATGATCTTTGATTTCCACGAAATTCTTTCGGTAAAAAGTCCCTACAAAAAAACCCAGAATAATATCCAAAGTAAATTTTTAACTTGAAGGTATAAAAAAAAGCAGTGATTTAATATTTTTTGAGTTAGGTTTTAAACAAAACACTTCATATTTTCAACTTAATAGTATATTCATATTGACAATTTCATTTCACATAACTTGAACACCTCGAAATGTCGAGAATAATCTCTCCATCCTTGGAGTTTAATTTTTCACTCAATAAACCATGAATTAACACCTAAATTTGCTACACGATATTTCCAGTTATCTCGTTCATTTTTCTAATAGATGATGGCAATTAATGCGATAATTGCTACTGCTAAATTTTCCAACTGAAACATAATCGATACGTTGTGGATTTTTGTTCAATTCTAGCAAGCCTCCTGAGAATTTTCTACATTAATTATAGTTTTTCTTTCTGAATCTGCTTAGGGTGGTGATAAAAAAAAAAGTACAAATCGCCTCGTATATTTCCACTGAATTTTGCGCATCTAATTTTCAAAAATAATTAAATGAAAGGTATTATTTTATTTTTATTCACGCACATTTAAAGGATATTAAATTTTCATGACCCAATCTTCGAAATATTCCTTTACTCATCGCAATGTTCTCAAAAATTTGTAATAATACACGTTTTGTTCACAGGTTCTATATAATTTACAATGATCTTCGTACGTCACTCACGAAGATGTGAGAATTATTTCGTATTATTGCTTAATGATTTAACGAGGCCCTATTATTTTTACATCAAACACTGGAAAAGAAAATTCCTCGAATCAATTGTCTGATTCTTGATTCAAAACAATCGTCCTTATTCAAGAATAAATTGTTCAATATTGTTAACTTTATCATGAATTATTACTTCCCAAGTTCGATATGTCTTCCCAGTAAGAAAGGAATTAATGCGAGGAGCGAGTATTTTGTAATCGAGTAAAACGACTGAATTATTCAATTGTTCAATACATCAATGAATCCTCGAATTTTTGGCGGAAAAAAAATCTAAAGGAATTTGCAATCGAAATGTTCACTCAAAATGGATAGACTCGATGCACTTTTTTATTTTCAAGTCTTTTAACTCTTAAATAAATAATACTTATTAATAAATTTCGGAGGATTTTCATGTGTTGTTTCGTGTGGTTCTATTCTTTGAATATTGCAATCCATTAATGTTACACTATTTAAACATTAATCGAAGATGAATTCTATCATTTCAACTTCTTTTTGCAATTCTTTCCCTTAAAAAAAACAACGAACACCTCCTTCGGGAATGCATCAGGAAGCTGTGAATGTCTTTTGTAATCAGAAACCCGAAAAAATGTCCTCTAAAAAGTTTATCCGAAACAAAAAAAATCATCTGAATGTGAAACTAGCTTTGGCACATTCATTCGTACCTTAAAATCATTGAAAAAATGAGCAAAAATCATCCTGAATTTACAGATAGAAATGATCACCTGTCTTCCAACTGTTAAAAAATAACAGAAACGCTTGAAAAGAAAAATACATTTGCGATCTCTAAAAAGAATATTCCAGTCTCAAAAGTCTATCCTTTATTTCTAGTCAGCGTCCAGTCAAATGAGTCAGAAAAATACGCAAACACAATAATTGAGGGATGACTAGAGCACCCATTCGACTACCTCAAAGAACATTCACCTTTTACATTCGATTTAAAAAAATGTGATAAATCTAATCATAAAATTGATCTCCCAAATCACTCATTGTCCACCACATTCACTTAGAGAAAGAATAAATTCCATTGATGACTACTCAAATCAAACATTACTATCTGGTTTACTGGTGAAACCTATTGGCTGGGCATTATCAACGAGATTCGATCGCATTGTGGCTGCAGGTGCTTGGGGATTCCCTGCTGCTGCACTCATATCGTCAATCGATGCCCTGGAAACATGAATAGAATTTTAGAAACGAGAGAAAGCTGTTGTCAATGCCGTCCATGCTGAATTTTTTTAATACTGCTGAATAATAACTCGAAAACTAATTATAATAAATTTACTTCACTACATTGAGAGTAAAAGACTACTAGATTCTCCAACAAATCGTGAGCCACAACTGTGATGTTCTCGATTTTTTTTTAGCTGATGATTATAATATTAAATTAGTTCTACAAATCTCACTAGAATAACGAGGAAAAAATAAAAGTAGAAAAGCTATTAATTGAATGACCCCCACAACCGTTAAAACCAATTAAGCAAGCCCACGTTCTCCAGCACCCCAGAGGATCACTACTCCATGCATTAGTATTAACAGGATATCTGCAAATGTAGTTAGGATTATTGCCTTGTTAGCGAAGTGGTGGAATGAATGTTGCATTATGGCCAGTTTATGTTGGCCTCCAAACATCAGGATCCTCCATCAATGTCGTATGATGATCAGATGCCCCTGTGCCAGATGGTGGTGATACAACACCCGATGGCGAACTCATTCCAGCTGGATCTGCCACTTGTCCTCTGTTCATTCAGGTTATCCCCATTTTTATTCAATATTTTCCCCATTTTTCATTTTGTAGCGTTAATGTTTATTGATTAAATCGAAAATTGGGAGTTGGAAACACGCAATATTTCAATTAAACGATAATCGACGACAAAAAGTTTTTAGAAAGCAGAAACACATCGTTTGTCAAAGAATTTCAAAGGGTTACTTACTTCTTTCCGATAGACATGAGACCGTATATTACCCCAGTAGCAAATATCAGACCGCTGCCTAGTATACTGGATACCCCCAAGCACAGAAAAATCGCTGGAAGCGCAATTCTAGAATCCAAAAACAAAGTACGACATTATCTTGATCTATTCAATATTACTATTGCTTTACTAAGAATTCGCAATAGCCTTTCGAATGTTTAAAAATTGTCGAATGAAGCGCAGGAATCTACATTTTTACTTGTAATCATTTCCCTTTTTTTATCTCTTTTTAAAATATATACGCTCCAAAAATTGCATTTACGATTTTTTTGGGCCATAGTAGGTGGACAGAAGACGAAAAATATCGAACTTAAATTTTCTCGATTAGGAGGCTTTCAGTCGAAAGCAAAAATTATATACTTACATACAATAAACGGCGGCTCGATTCCAATACGGCCGCCTCTCCACATTATCACTGACAGATTGAACAAAATCGAGGAACATACAGCAGCAAGGAGCCTCGATGATTATCACCAGAAATCCAGCCACCATTTGCCACATTCCACTGATCAAACACGATACATCACCCAAAAGAATTCCAATGCAGTTCCAAGCCCCCAGGAAAATCGCAACTGCAACACAAATCATTAATTCAATGGAAATCGATGGAATTCATTAATTTTCCACCAATTTTTTGCCCAAGTGGTCGCGGATAACTCATGACGACAAAACAACAAAGCTAGATATATTTTTTCCCCCTGGGAAATTGTCGGAAGATTAGATATCGAATGACACACGAGGTCATAATAATAATTTGTTTCTTTAAACTGAGTATTGTTTTAAGGCAAAATTTTTTTGTGGAAAAATTCGTGATTCCACAAATCAAAGATTCACCCCAAAATTCTATTCTAATTCTTTGTAATTTTCAATTGACGATTTGTTTCATTGTAATATGATCTATTAGAGAAGCTGCCAATTTTTTTACTACAAAAATTAGTCGAGCTTCTACGAAACAAATGTAAAAATGTTTAAAGAGAATTCAACAAAAAAATGGCAAGGTGCTTGAATATTCTTAATTGAATGTTTTTCTCTGGCAAAATTCATTAAAATCTTTCGGCATTCATCATTTTCCAATGACTGATTTGTTCACTCTAATTACGACTGAACTAGGCAGCATGATCAGTAGTTTTTCGAATGAAAAAAAATGTGCAAACAAGACGTAAGGAAACGAGATTAGAGACTTGATGAAATCGATAATTGAGACTGATATTTTTAAGGTAGAGGTAAGGGAATTTCTTACTGAAACCTCCGACAGTTCCTACTCCACGACCAGCATATTTCATGTACCAGGGTACATCATCCTTGCTCACCGGATCCTGTCCAGGACGCTCCATTATGGATGCTATTTTTTCACCGAACGACTGAAATAATTAGCAGAATTCAGTGACTCGTTACTATCGCAGTTTGGTCAATAGGCTGAAAATTTATAGCAGATGGATGAAGGATTACGATTTTAATACCATTGTGAATTTATTTTTTCAACTTTTGACGTTGATCAGACACTCGTCAGCTGACACCTCCACTGTTTAAGGCCCCTTGTTCTTGACTTTTTACACGCACACACTGAATACTGTTGACGTGCGAAAAAAATCGACCCACTTTAATTCCCTGACTCTCCCCTAGGGGATCATCATCGTACCGTTGGAAATTGACTTGAGGTTTTTTAAATGAAATTTTTTTTCTCTTGGCAACATTCCCTTACATGTTTTTAAAGGAAAGAATTTTGATGTAACATTTTTTCATCTATAACTTGGATTATAACTTTTGGAAATCGATTTATCGTTGCAGTGTTCGATTTTCAAATTTTACAGAGAACTTCCTTTAAGCGAATTCTATCTTCTTCAAAATCCTTTTTCATAAAGAAAAAACTCAATACTCAAATGGTTTCGAAATGAAGAACAATTTTTTTTTAATTTTTAACAATATATTTTCGCCTTCAACACTTTCTGCCTTCATATCTCCGCAGATTTCAATATATACATAATTAGTCATTTACATTTTACACGTTCAACTTAATTTCGAAAAAATCTCGAGAGAGAGAGACAGAGTAAAGATTTTAATATTCCATTTCTGAATAAATTAGTAAATATCGAAGAGAAAAGTATAAATAATATGGTACCTTATTCATCGAAAGGCATTGGAAGGACTCGATTCTTCATCTCGAGTATGAAAATAATTTTTTCAATCATGGGAAGAATTTTTAAAATATTTTGGCGAACATAATTAGCTAATTGTTCACAATGAAAACATCATAATCGACTATGTAGTTTGGAAATTCGGCTATCAGACGTGCATCTTACAATATTACATGATTTCAAATTTCTCCATCAAAAAAATTCTCTTTTTATCAATCGTTATTAGTGCAACCTTTGAGTTTCAATTGTTCATTATGATAATTCGATTATTTTCGGTCTTCGTTAGTTGTTAGTTTCACATAATTATTTACTGAACAAATAATTATTCTTTTTCTCAACAATAAAAGCGGACGTGCACGTTCACTGACGATTATAAAAAGCATGTTTTTTTTAATCATTTTCTTTTTCAAAAACACAACTTTCAATTTATTTATATTTCAAGCCCTCTTTAAAAACAAATAAAAAATCGTTGATTTCCTTGAGATTTACATCCGCATTATTAAATGCTTCTAAGGAAATAATTTCCAAAATTATCTCCATTAAATTGTATAGATTCTCATCATCGTGTGAGTATGGAATGGAAAAAATATTTTTTTCAGAGCTGCGCAGGGTAAATAATTCCTTATATCTTATTAATTCATTATTAAATTCTTTATAAATTAGGCATCAATGTCTCACATCAGTCTTGGACCGAATTTAAATAATAACTAAGGATAATTATATACAGAATCACATGAAGCAAAAAACAAATCAAGAAATTGTTTGAATGACCCAGTGGATCCTCCAAAGAAATCTCACTCATCCCCAGAAAAAGAAAACAAAATATCTTTGAAAAAAAAAATTACCTAAGGCAGTATTAACGCCAAGATGGCCTCCCCACGTGAATACTCTGAAAACAATGGAAAAAATAATGAAAATAATGTTCATATAATGCTCATAGAGCGTCGATATCGTTTTCTAGTATTGGTCGATGCGATAGGAACGGATAGTGGTGCTGGTGGTGTTACTGGTGTAACTGGTGTGATAGGTGTTGATGGTGTTTCAGCCGATGTGGCCGAAGAGGGGGGCCTGAGCTACCAAATGTAGTTTTCAGTCTGCGGTGCCCTCATCACACCTACACCACCGCCCAATCGCCTGTAGTTCATGCAGCCACACAGTCGCCATTGATTCTGCTCCGGATCGTAAACCTCGATGGTTTTCAGATATGCTGTACCATCAAACCCACCAACGGCATAAAGTTGACCATTTACGACAGCCAAGCCCACCTGAAAACAAACATAAAAAATTATTGCATTTTTTAATTTTTAATCATTTTTCTATACGAGATCGTCTGCACGTGTTCCGCACGCGCTTTCACTCGAAATGTGTGAGATTTAGTCACGACGTCGCGGTGGCGGCTCCACTTTGTCTTTTTGGTCTTACTCTTATGGTCATTCGAGATATTTCGAGATATTTCGCGATCAATTTCCTTTCTCTCTTTTATATTAGGATATTTCCCTCTGTAGGCAATCACGCAAGCTTACCCCACTTCTTCTAGAAGTCATAGCCACAATTGGACTCCACGAATTCGTGTGCGGATTATACCTCTCTGCACTGGACAACTCCATGCAGTCATCTCTGCCACCAACCGCATAAATAAGATTATTAAAAACCGCGCATCCAAGGTGTTTTCGTCTGGTCGACATGGGTGACACCTGAGACCACTTATTCTGCCTGGGATCGTATCTCTCGACGGTGTTCAGAGGCGATGTCCCATCAGAGCCTCCAATTGCATAAAGATATCCCCCAAGTACGGCTACGGCAACCCCAAGTCGTCTCGTGGTCATCGGGGATACTTTTGACCATTTGTTTTCTTTAGGATCATACCTGCAGACATAAGTATTCAATAGATACCGCATAAATTTGAGCAAAGGATCGTCACAAATCAGTACAAAAACCAAAGAAATCGGTTGATTAATAAAATGAGTAGAAATCATCCCAAATTTTTTATTCAGTCTGACTTTCTTCGATAAATTAACACTTACTTCCTCATTGCGAATAAGTAGTGAAAATTTTCATCAAATGGACTATCCAATCTCCTTACCTCTCCACATGATTGAGACACTGGACACCATCCTGACCGCCGACAGCATAGAGGAATCCATCGAGGACAGCGACACCAACACTAGTCCTGCATGAAGTTGTAGGTGCCACATCGCAGGACCACTGATTAGTTTGAGGATCGTATCTCTCAATACTATTGAGATAGCTCTGTCCATCATGTCCCCCAACAGCATAAAGGAGATCATTGAGAACAGCCACTCCAACCCCACAACGTCTCTTGCTCATAGGTGCAACCATTTTCCAGTCAGCTGTATTAGGATCGAATCTCTCAACAGAGGCAATAGCATCGCCAGAGCACCATCCACCCACAGCAAAAAGTACTTCACCTCTGCGTGTGGGCTTTCTGGGTCTTGTTCTTGGGCCCTGCATGAGAGGCCTCTCCTGGGGCAGAAGAAGATAGTTTTTGGCCTCGTCGACTAGATCTCTGCAGGCATCATCAGATCGCACCAGTAAATCTGAACCAACAGTTCCAACGAGAAATTTTGGTGAGAGAAGAGGTAGACGCACGTGTTGAAGAACCTGAGCCAAATGCTGTCGTCTCTCTGTAACATTGTACTTGACCCAATTCATCACAGCACTGAACACCTGCTCCTCCGTCCTAACATTTAATTCATCGGATGATATTATATCGACTAGTTGGCCAACTGGCAGTAGAAGGAACTCCTCGCTCTCCATGACCTCTTGGAAATTGTGTTGTGTAAATTTATCAGCTATTCTCAAGAGCTCTCGGCATGAGTGGGTGTCGGCAAATGCACGGATTCCTAGGCAGTTTGAGGGGTCTAATTGACGTTTCAGAAATTCACAGCAGATGTCTTGGATCTCGGCTAGCTGAAGGAGGCAAGCGGCTGGGAGAAGAGTTTGAACATTTGCCTCTTCTACTATTATGTGGGAAGTGTAGCAAAAGTCAATGAGCAGTTCCATCGCTACCTCGTCGATGTCGCGGATTGTTACTTCGGTCTGTCGGGACTCTGCTAGCTCCCCTGTGAACATTGCTCTGAAAAAAACATTATTACTATAATTATTATTGACTTATTAATGACCATATCATATGAATTTATTCATAAGATCATGGAACTCTGCAAAAACCCACGAATAACTACTGCAAACTAGTTTGAATTCTCTGAGAATTAGAAATGGCGGAATAAATTAAATGGAAATTGAAAAAATGTATAGTACCTGAAGTAGGGGCTGCATGCCGAGAGTATAACCCGATGTGCGAATATCTTTCTGGTACCCACATTGAGGACAACGTCGCAGAGCTCTCGGTGACGTCTTAGTACATTGAGCTCAGTGAGGGTAGCACGAGGATGCTTCTCGGAGGTATGACTGAGGCGTGCTGGTGATGGTGCTCTTTCAACCACCATCTCGCCCATCCTCTGGCTGGAGGATGCTGGACCAGTCGTGCTCCCCGAGGCGCCCCGGCTCCCCCCGGCTAGCTGTAGGCGCAGCGGGGGTGACGCCCAGCCCCACACCGAGTCTATCTGCAACACCATTCACCACGACCGATCTCTTCGGTCACTATTCTCTCCTTCTTCTTATTTTATTTGTTTATCGGACACGTCAGCAAAAGTGCAGCTTTTTTTTTTACGCGAAACGTTATGACAGTCTGTAAAGTAATGCTTCACAGACGTCAGTATTTGCCTACAGATTAAATACAGAAAGGGAGAGTAGAAGGCGAGGTTTCATATTCTCCAGGAAAATCCCTAAGACGGAAATAAATATTCAGAAGTAATATCACTAATGGCTCTAATGGGTTATTCGTTGTCAAAGATAATGACGCAATGATTTCGAGTCAAAGTAATTTCCCAGTGTAAAGCTTGAGGGGCCTTTCTGCAGAATTTGATCTATTCGTTCCTCGGCAGGAAAACGTGAGAATATCTGATTGGTTTTGAAGCACGTATGAGATTGGAGGGATTATTTTTCCACTTGGATTTCGGCCAATCGGAGTGACACGAATAGCATTCGGACATTTACACAATCGTGCAGAGGAAAGAGAAACTCTAAAAGATTCATTTGGCAATTGAAGTAAAATAGATTGGTAACATTTCTTGGAAATTCCTAAAATTCTTTCATTTAGCTCTTCAAAAATATCTTTGAAACCAACAGAGATAACAAAATTTTTGAAATAACTTTTTTCGTATTTTTTAATGAGCTTTACAAAAAGTTGTAACAAAAATTTTATTCTCTCCCTTAGTTTCAGAGAAATTTCCGAAAAAACCACTGAAATGTTAACTTACCGCGTTTTACCACTTCACTACAGATTTTATTTTTTATCTACTTAGCATTTTTAAAATACATGCTTTTACTTTCACTCTGGCGACCAGTCAAACTTGTAGCTATAGAATTTGGGTTCTAGTTTATCAACGAAAAATATGAAAGTGGAATTTGTTTTTAGAAAATTGAGATTAAGAAGAGTCAACAGATCATTATCAGTGGATTCTTGAATTGATTGCCTCGAGAGTTTGGCACGTATAAATATTATATCGGGGAACTGTTCTGGCTTTTATGAGTACTTTTAGCAATTATTTTCTCTACCAAGACAGAATCACTGTTTATCACATAAAAAAGTATGAAGATTGTGATTTTCATAAAGGTTTCAATTCTAATTCTGTACGAGTGGCTGATGAAAGCCAGAAGCCAGTTAATGATACCTTTTAACCAGAGAATTAGGAGATTGAGATAAAAATAAATATATAATTTTACCTTTGATGTTTTTCGGTACAACCAGGTGAAAAATAAGGTCACACTATTCCCTCTGGAACTTATAATTCACTCCTCGTGATTTAATTCGTTCCACCTTTACACAACATCGCTATGCAGCACTCGTTCCTTTTTTTATGCTTGGCTAAATGAAACTGTTCTTATGTGAAATATTTTCCCTGGAATTTAAGTTATGAGGGGATTAAGGAAAATATTCTCGCAGTTTATTGTGGTTGATGGCACAAATGGATGATGAACACAGTTGGGGAGTTGGTTTGGGGGCACTTGACTAGTCCATTTGATTGATTTTAATCACACATACACGATTGTAATAATCATTTTTGACAATTATTATCTGGCGCATCGGTTGGGTCAACCAACGCACACATACACAGGACGTGAATACTGATGTTCAACGATGTGTTCATAATTGATCAGTGTTGCCAAGCGACCATTTCTCAATATTTCTCAAAGTGGCAGAACTGCATCTTCATTACCATCCCACAGTAATAAATTTTCTTTTCATCGTGTGTCGGTAATAATGGGGCACGAATATTCGAGGATGTGCGGGATAAAAAATAATTCTCTGGGCAGTTGAGGATGTTTTTATTCAAATTTAAAAGGATTCAGAGTAACAGGCCATGTGACATTACCATAGGATGGTAGTTTTAAATCCAATTATTTAAAAAAAATTTTTTTTTTAATTTTGTCAAAAATCAAATTGTTATTCGCTTCATCATCACGTTGCACAGTGATTACCAATATCAATAATTAACAATCATTAAATTAATGATTAATTTAATAATTTGGGTTTTTCAAAATATTTGTATTACCCTAAAACATAAGTCGATTGAGAATTCTACTCCTATGGTAATGTTACCAGACTTCACTTCTTTACTCTGGGGTGTTTGTATTACCAAGAAGCTCCCGATAATTTTTGATCTTACCAGGTGTCGGTATTTGTTCGTTAATTAAGAATTAAAACATGTTGATAATTAAAGAAATGAGTATATCAACAAAAAATATTAATTGCTCACACGATTATTCGGTTATGAGGAATACATCGGAATGAATTTCAGTCGATTAGAATGATGCATGTATCGATTAATTTCCAATTTCTTGAGAATATTGGTAATGAACAAGAATCGTCCGAAAGTAATTTCATTGAATGAAGAATCTCACTTTTTATCATCACTGAGGCTTTCTCTGGTAAATAAAAAAAGCACTTGTCGTATGTCACCAGAGGACCGTTTTGGTGGTGAAAGTTTTCAAATAACTTACCCACATATTGAATTCAAGGTTCTCTAAAAAAAATTAAAACAATTGTAAAGAAACCTCAGGAGGGTTCTTAACGACTGCGTTTAATTCGATATTAATGACAGGTTTGCACCCAGCAATACACATCGATAATAATGTGCTGAGGGGGTATGAGAGAGTGGTAAAGGCTCAGCCTGGGTACAACCATGCTGAAGCACTTTTTGCCCCTGGATCTCTTAATTAATAACCCGTCTTGTGTTCTGATAATGAGGCTGTCATCGTTGGAACTTTGTATGGTTAATTATACCCATAAATTTGATATGTCTTTTTAACTTTTTTTTCGCAAGCGATCAACTTTTTATTTTCGTATTCGAACCGCGGGATGATGCGGGAATCCCCCGCGCTTCAACCACATACACCCGAAAAGAAGAATCTTATCTTACAGTTCTCACAATCTGAAAATAAGGTTTTTGAAAGGTTTGATTGGGGTTTTCTAAGCGATTAATTTAATATTTTTGAGTCTCAAATTAAAGCTTATGAAAGTCTAAACTTCTGACGTTCAAGAGGTTTAACTTAGAACTCTGACAGTTTCAAT